ATAAAACCCAGCCAGTGGTACATTACCTTTTTTTTTTTTTTGCTAAAACTAGAGTACAACAAGCGCAGACACAAGAAAACACAAATGTGTTTTGTGCCTCTATTTACCATCAAGAACCAGCAACAGAAGCAACATACCGTACACACACAGATGTCATGAGGGTAAAGTTGGAGGGACAGACGATACATATTTGTTTTTGTTCAAACTTTGAACCTTTAAATTTTATATTGTTCATGTCAAATCCTAGACTAAAAGTACGACAACGAAAAGTGCAGTAATTCATTCAGTTCACATTAACCAATGCTTTGAATGTTGAATCTATGTGTTTTAATTTTTAGATTCACCATTATGGCAAGATTAAAGAATGAAAAAAGAAAAATTTCCATCGTTTTCTACAAACAGGATGTTTGTTACTTGACCTGTCTGCATCCTGGGTTCTTCTTTGTTTGAGTTTTTAAGTTTTACTTTAGTTTTCTCTCGTGTTGCTGTTCTTTGTGTTTCCTTTTGAGATTCATTGTGAAATATTTCCTGTCTTTTTTTTCTTGGTGTTAGTGCTTTCCTGTATTTCCTGTCATTTTCCTTTTCTCCCTCAGTCAGGGCCTGATTATGTGTGAATGAAACCTGTTTACACAGTAATGCTGTGGTTTTTGACACGTTTCTGTCTCCCGAATGTCCTGCCTCTTTTCCCACCACCAAGACCTCAGCATAAAGAAGAATTTGAAAACAGGAAGTAATATTTTGCTACAGTTTTACAACTATTTACTTGTAAACTATTAAACCTTTTTATAAAACAGAAAGACTATAAACTTTAAGGCCATTTGCAGATCAGTGCCAGTTTTAAACTCTTATTTTGAAGATTTCAGAGTGGTTCACACAAATAGTATTTCATAAATATTTCCATTGCCATAAGTTTTGCGTTACACAGTTAATTCAGCAAAATTAATTAGATATTACTGCTGGAAGTGTCTCAYTTTGCACAGGAAGTGCTACAGCTAGCTGCTGCTGTTGAAAAATTCTATGTGAATTATTGTAAAAAGCCAAATTGACGCCAATGTAATGGTAAAAAAATAAGCATTTGCATGAGATATTTTGCCAACAGACAAACAGGGTTGATAAAGTAAAGTAATGCTTTTGAACAAAGATGAAGCTCAATGTGTAGAGTTTACATAATGAGTTGTGAATTACTCTCAGGTACTACCACCTTGAATTTTAGCTCAAGTAAAGGTTGTGTTTGCTCAAGCCAGTTGTCTGTGGTGGCCATCTTGAATTGGACTGACTCTGAAAGTAATGTGTTGCAGATAAACAATCAATGACTACTGTCTAAAAATCGAATCAAAGTCGAACCACTGTTTCATTAGATATTTTACTAAAAGACAGTCGACTCATAGGTAAAGTTAAAAAAATAAATAAAACCAAACCGACCTTGAGGGGTTTACGATTGAGAATTAAGGGCCTCCAACACTAATAGAGGGATGCAGTAAACATAAAAAACGTCCTCCGCAAATTGTGCAAACTTCCCCACTGTGGGATCAATAAAGTTTTATCTTATCTTATCTTATCTTATCTTATCTTATCTTATCTTATCTTATCTTATCTTATCTTAAAAGGGTCGTGAATCTGACAGTGTTTATAAATCCTTGCTTCCTCGTTAAGTGGAGTGAAGAACATCTGGAGACGTTATGAAATCACATTTTGTACATCGTGACGAACACTGACAAACAAACACACACAGATCGGAGTGTAGCTCCTCATGAGGGGACACAGGTGTGTGCTGGCCTTCTGGGTTATTTAATTACACATGTAGGTCATCGCACTCGCACACACACACACACACACACGCTCCCACACACACACACACAC